AATAAATATTAAAATATAATGTATGAGTGAACTCATCAACCAAAATTACTGAACAAAATATCTGCCACTTCTTATTATAAAGGAGGGGGGGGGGCGAGATAGAGATATGAACGATTTTTTTTTTAAAGAGCAGCCACTCATGATAGCAATTACTTTTCATTCTCCTCTTATTTGCATGTAAATCCTCCATTTTAGCTCCTATACAGCTCATAATTTATATCCAATAATTTTGTTATCCAAAACAGCACTTAATAACCATGATGTTCTCATTTTGTCATGGTTCATAACATTATGACAATTAACAAAGTAGGTGAGGCCAGTAAATTAGATTAATTGAGCAGCGCTGCAATAGACCAGTATACTAGCAGACCATATCCGAACTGAACAATGAAATCAATGAATTATGAATCAACGGAAAGCTTATAAGCCATGGATTACAATAACATCAATTATATGCTATTTTAGTGTCTGTCAGAGGAGTATCAACTCTTTGAAAACCCAAAATCCAAAGCTTTAAAAAACGGAAGTTGTCGACCTAAAAACTTGCTATTGACTTTGATATCATCTTATGTGGAGAACGCATATATGACTTTGCATTAATTAAGCACGGTTCATCGCCTCAGCTATATAGTAAACCGATGGGGTCTACATGTTATATCGTCACTGTAACTTCGGCACAGTTGACCCCTGTTGACCCGTAATTTGGAGGGGTGCGTAAAATGAGGTTTTAATTAGCTTTTGTGCAATAATATTCCTTTTATTCCTTTATATTTGTATTCTACATTCATTCAGTTTTCTGTTCATGTGCTTTATGTAATGCCAACAACTGAATTTCCAAATGGACCAATACAATTAATCTGAATCTGAATCTGAATCTGAATTTAAATCAAGTTGAATTTTTATCGGATAGGGTCTTTAAATTGTACGCATACTTTAAATCAAAGGATGTGCTTAACAACCTGAAAGCTTGCCTGAGGCTTTGTCCGATATAGCAACAAGTACTATGTGCAGACTGGATTCTTAGTATTAGGGACTTTTAGATTTGCACAACGACAACGTGGATTGCTACGATCGACGTCCTTATAATGCACTGCCTTGAATGGACGTCACACGTATCAGTCCACGCAAATCTAAAAGTCCCTAGTGTAGTTCGTTAGTAATTCGTCACTAGGTTGCCAAGAAAGAAACATCTATAAATTTGATTATGTTAGTCAGTCGGTCTACTAAACATTGACTGGACCTACATTACACACAACCCTCTCTCTACCTGTGCGCAATATTATTATTAATATTATAACATTTTTAAAGGAGGGCATAAAAAAGAGAGAAAAAGGTTGATGAACAAATTTAAAAAAGGGTCTCAAAATCATTAGAGGGTCCAGCGGAATGTGACGCATGAACGGGATCAATCCATTTGGGAGAGAGAGAGAGATTAAGAGAGAGAGAAATTGAGATAGAGAGGGAGAAAGGGGAGAGGTACTGGGGCTGACACCCGCGCCGATGTCACTCTCAATATAAACGCGATTAGTATACTCAGGAAGCTGTAATGAATGGAGATACCGTCTCAAAAGAATTTTCCGAGGATAAAATATTCAAGATTAACCTGGCTTAACAAAAAGAAATGTAACCCTCTCCAGCCATCATTTCCATCCACAGCTGTCCATATCAATGCACAGTCCCTCTCTGGCATTCCAAATAGTACGAAATGTTACGCAACGCCATCTGCTTCCCTAAGTTCTCTATTCACTTTTTTGCAAAAATATGCAAGCATCGAGCTTTGAAGCCATGCGTGGCACCGACAAATTAAGTCATGTTTAGTGAAGACGTATTTAGCTATAACATATAAAATACAGAATTCACAACATAATGACCAATGCAACTTTCTATAAGTCATCAAATGACTTTTCCGTTCTCAGATAGCTGTACTGAAGACATGGCCATTTCAACCAGCGAAATCGACCAAGGAAATCATGAGTTAGAGCGAATGAAAGGTTTTTATCATCATGATTTTCTCATCTAATTATTGACATTTCCCGAAAATTTCCGAAATTTTTACATAGCTAGGAAGGTAGTCCAAAGGTTTATCTTTCTAATGAACTAAATGATATTGTGTTATATGTTTGCGCATTTATTGATTTAGTGCTAGAAGTTGTCAAGTTATCACCACTATTCACCCCAAGTACGGGCCGGCAAAGCAAAAGCCGCCGTGCTCGCTGGGCTGGGCTGTATGTGGAAAGGGAGGACTTAGTGCTACAAGAGAGCTGTACGGTTTCGGAGGGGGATTAAGGGGATTACGGTAGGGGGAACAAAAGACGCGCGGTGCCACGGATGACTTCAAAGGGACCTCTTGGACGGGATCTCCATTAATTACAGCTTCCTGGTATACTTGTAAAGCCCGACGCATACCGGATAGGCTAGGGGAGAGGTAGAGAGAGAGAGAGAGAGAGAGAGAGTGTCTTTGTATGCTCTCTTATCCACGATACACGTCCTCGTTTCCACGGTACACTGTCTCGTTGCTGACAATTTTCACATACATGTATTATGGAAAGCCACACGCTACAATGAATGTCACTTCATTAACATCGGCCTCAGGTATGTGTTTCATTAATTGACTGCGCAGAATGCCTAATGACAAAGGAAATTGCATTAGATCCACTGAATGTTGCACACAGAGACTTTTATTTAATCAAAAAGAGAAAGGAAGCTAGATAGTTAGACGGGGTGTATTGTTTGAATTCTTTTCATCGATGGGTATTGTTCCCAGAAGTTTGCGGTCAAGGACGGGGAATCGCGAATTACATTAAATTTTGAGAAGCCTAAATTTTAAAACCTGATAATTTAAAGGTGAATGGTTGGCTCGTGTAACAGGGAATTACCCGTTTCCAAATGTTTAAATTTGATTCACTATTGCAATTTTGTTTCGAATTTAAAACCAATTTCAAGACAATAGCCTTGTACATCACCTTTGAAAATGTGCAAACATGACAATGAAATATTAGTAATCCAAACATGATTTATAAAAGCAGTTGGCCTACAAAAGGGTATTGGAGTTTCCTTCATTATAATTTTTTTCGATCGTGTTTTTAATGGATTTTAAAGGCGTCGTTTCACAATGTTAAATCTGAGATCTACGTGTTATCAGTGTCTGAGATATGGTGTAATATTGAAGCCCTAAAAAAAAAATCTCGCTTTAAAATGATCAAGAAGTGCCTCAAAAAAGAAAAAAAATCTTTGAGCGACCGCTTTTTACCACACTTGTTTTCACCAGTAGACTGTAGTGTTATGAAAACCGTTTGGCAAACGCAAAATTTCGTTTTGATTTCCAATCATAAATATCTTGATAATCAGACAGGCGATCGGCTTGTAAACATCATGGAGTTCCTGACTGATCTAAAGGTTTATAATTATCATTGCAGCATGAGCTAAATCCAGGATTTTGTTTCAGAATATGAGTAAAGTTACCGGATCCCTTTAATGAGCCCTAGTGAACTTTAACCAAACGGCCTTTTTGGCGGGGATGCTCAAGCCAAGAGCTGCTCAACGTACATGACTGATGACGCTCTCGTTAAACGCTGCCCATGACCTCTCGAATGAGAGTCGACAACCTTTTCACATACACCACACACTATGAATATGACGGACAAAGAAAGCGGACAAAATATACAGTTCCTCAGGTAGATAAAGGAACATCCCTTCACTGCTATTATGTAAAAATGTCATGTGTAGAACAGGTGAATGTGCATGTGACACCTGTTCTACACATTTTTGCATAATAGAAGTGAAGGGATGTTCCTTTGTCTACCTTGATGAACTGTATATTTTGTCCTCTTTCTTTGTCCGTCATGTTCATAGTGTCAGTGTTCTCAAAGAAGTGTTGTGGCCTCATGTACAATGTCCATAAATAGATCAAGCTTTGTTCGCATTTTGAGATTTTTAATGACGCCTATAATAAACATTATTTCATTAATTAGATCGTTGCGCACTGTCATTGTTTAGAGATTAATTGAATTATCAAGATTATGAGATTACAGGTGTAATCTATTGAGGTTGTTTATACCAGTGACATATAGCTTGAGTGGCGGCCATCAAGGGAGGGTGGTGAGGAGGGGGGGGGGGATTGGTGCATCTTGGATGAAACGGTTTTACTCGATGCCTGAAACACAAATTAAATGGCCATTGATCAGTAAGTGAGAGTACTATCAGATGTCGGCTATCTTCTTTTCTCATCCTTTTATCAATCTATGATCTACCTCTCCTCCTCCTCTCTCTCTCTCTCTCTCTCTCTCTCTCTCTCTCTCGCCCTCTTGCCTTCTCGCCCTCTCGCCCTCTCGCCTCCTCCTCTCTCTTTCTCGCTTTCCGACTTCTCTTTCCCACTCCGCTCTCTCTCTCTCTCTCTTCCTCTCTCGCTTTCTTTCCTTCCCTCTCCCTTCCCCCTCTTTGCCCATGGATATTTTCAGCTGAGGACCAGAAGGAGTTGATTAAATAAATGCTTCCCCTCGACATAACTAACGTTGTGTATCACTTTAAAGGGTGTAAACTGATGAGACTACATATACGTGTCTTTCCCTTGGTCTGACTCGGGGCCAATCGGGTCCAGGCGTATAACATACGCGAAACCGAAGCGTGTGGAGAACTTCGGTCTGTTTCGCAAAAGCTGACCATTAGAGATTAAGTCGCTGACTACCGTTAATCAAGTCCATTCGTTTACGTGTAGTTGTCCAGAAGGAGACGTAGATGGCGTCCGCCTGTATTGGTCAGTTTACACCCCCTTTAAAGTGATACACGTTAGTTATGTCGAGGGGAAAGCATAGTCGTGTGGGATGTAGTGGCAGGATTCGCAGGGCTTCAGAAGAATCTGGAGGAACCGCGACGTGATCGCTGATCCTATATGGGCCCTTTTGCTAAAAATTGGGAAACAGTTGCGGGATTACATAAATTGATGTTGATGACTTAACTATTCATTGGGGGCATATTCCCTTTGCTCTTTTGTTCTTTTGTAGGCGGTATTTCTGTCGCTTCTGATTGTGGCATACACTGATAATGGCCAAAGCAAGGGGACGATCGATACTCCTGCCCACCAGGCGTGTGTACAAGGTAAGTGTTACATGGTTTCAGATCATTCGATTCGGCTCGAGCCCCCCTCACTTTCTTGAAAAAGTATGTTAAAGAGAAATAAATGCCCCCTTTACCCCCACCAAGACCCCCAATGCGGGCCCCTGGATGCTCACTTGACCGTAATTAAATGCCTATAACCCCTAAGCTCCTGGGGCTCCGCCCCTGGACCCCAAGCCGATTAGCGACCTGCCAACGGCACAAGTAAGGTATCAAAATATGCTCATGTGACCGTAATTAGATGCTCAAAACCACCGAGCTTCCGCCCCTTGACCCCCGCCGGGTTTTGCCCCTGGAACTCACGCCAATCTATGCTCTACTAAATACTTTAGCCCCCCCCTCTCCACTGTGAAAAACGTTCCGCGGGGCATGCATGTAACATGTAAGAGTGGTGGGGATGCGGATTTGTTTCTGCCCCCAAGCGTTTTTGCTTATTCCGCCACTAATAAAGAGAAGAAAGAGAATATTATAAATATTTAAAGTTCCGAAAACAACACTGAAACCGACGCGACGGTCCATTAGACTGAAGACACACACGACCGAAAAAGGCAACGAAATAAGTATAAATAAAGATACACAGAGACAGAAAGAGCGAGAGAAAAATGTTCACAAAAACTGACAAACCCACCGTAAACCGACAACAAAAAGATCGCCAGTTTCGAGTCTAATGGAATATCGGCCTCGTCCGTTGTAGCCTCAACACAACGCATGTACATCACAAATTATGTACAAAAATAGCCAAATCTTATTATTTATTTATGGACAACGATATCGTAAATATCTAAAACGGTTCATGTAGATATGTACGTACATAACAAATTATGTACAAAAATAGCTAAATCTTATTATTTATTTATGGACAACGATATCGTAAATATCTACAACAGTTCAGTAGATAATCATATACCTATATAAAGTAATTGATGTTTTTTTTTTAACCTGGAGAACGGGTAAAAAAAAATAACAAGGCAATATTCAAAAAGTTGTGTCTTTGTCATGGTAACCTACTGTCACATGACACGAGATGTTGATGAATGTATTTAGGACACAAGGCTGAAAGTGATTACTTAGTTGGCGAAGCGGAGAAACGGAGCTAAATAATTCATCGTTTTTAATGAAACAACACGAAGGCTATTTCTTAGCAACAAGCAAACATTAATACGAGTCTGTCAATGTTCAAATAAAATACGTTCATACATTTTTGGAATAGCCCCACCCCCCTAAAAAAAAATAGTGCTAATACATTAATAAAAGAAATTGTTATCATCAAGTACAATATTTTTGTTTAAGTCTCCTTTATGGATATGAGGTAAAACATCCTTCAGTAAGTAAAAAGAATAGAAAAAGGACGTTTTATCACAAAACTATGACAATTTATAAGTAAGCTATAATTAAAAATGATTTTCGTTTTTCTGAATGGATAAAGGAAGCCGATAATTTGACACAAACAGAAGAACTGTCGAAGTTCAAACCTCCGTATTATATTAAAATACTTTTCGTTGCAATAATGTTATGTAGATGTTTATTTTATTTCCCTTTTAAAGGCTTCTATTTATAAAAAAAAACACAAGCGTGTTGGAGTAGAAAGATGTCGGAATATATATATATATATATATATATATATATACATACATATAAAAACTTAAATTTGACGTCTTACGTCAAGTTCAGTTATCACACCGTCATCAAAAGTCGACCCTTGAATCTGCTTTTTTAAACGTATAGGCATACGCAATCAAAATAAGTTAAAGCTTACATTATCTTTAAACGTCCTTTCTATCTAGGATTGCATTCAAACAACATTTAAAATATTATCAATTAATATGCAAGGCCAATTTGATATTTCGTATGCTTAGTATATAGTATGTGAAAAGAACGCATAACAAAAGAAGAAGATAAAGAAGAAAAAGGAGAATAGTAGAACTAGAACAGAAACGGAATATTTAATGAGCCAAATAAATAGAAGAGGAGGATGAGCAAGAAGAAAAAGAAGAAGAAGAAGGAAAAGAAGAAGAAGAAGAAGAAGAAGAAGAAGAAGAAGAGAAGAAGAAGAAAGAAGAAGAAGAAAAAGAAAAGAAGAAAAAGAAGAAGAAGAAGAAGAAGAAGAAGAAGAAGAAGAAGAAGAAGAAGAAGAAGAAGAAGAAGAAGAAAAAGAAGAAGAAGAAGAAGAAGAAGAAGAAGAAGAAGAAGAAGAAAAAGAAGAAGAAGAAGAAGAAGAAGAAGAAGAAGAAGAAGAAGAAGAAGAAGAAAAAAAGAAAAAGAAGAAAAAGAAGAAGAAGAAGAAGAAGAAGAAGAAGAAGAAGAAGAAGAAGAAGAAGGAGAAGAAGAAGAAGAAGAAGAAGAAGAAGAAGAAGAAGAAGAAGAAGAAGAAGAAGAAAAAGAAGGATGCAGACTCATTTTTGTTTGCAGTTTGCGAAACAATTTGTCATTTGAGATTATTCTTATATAAGTTAAACCCCCTCTGCACTAATCCGGCCAGGAGGGATTAGACCACCCTTCGTTTATGATGCCAAAGCTAAAAATATAAAACAAGGAAACTTATGGGGCGCCGGATACATGTATCTTCGCCTCCCAAAAAAAATGTGGTTTCCTTCATGAATTACATCAATGCAAACGCAAATGTTTTGCCTCCCCCCACCCCATAAGCCAAGGTCTTGATACGCCACTTGGGTTGCTCCCGCTAGTATTAACCTGTTGCTATGTTGAATGCCTTATGTTATTATGCATACATTTATTACTTTTGTTGATATGGAAAAAGAAATGGAAGAAAATAAATCTTACCTTGAATTGAATTTTAAATGAATATCATAGATACCTTTGAAAGCAATTTGATATCTATTACATTTTCATGAATGTCTCCGTGTTTGACATTTTGTCGATTTTTTTTTTTCATACTGGAAGTATTTGTTCATTACGAATTTACCAATCTTTAAAGTATGTTTATTTCTAGTGAACCAATCGATGTCACTTAATACTCTCTCGCTCTCTTTCTCTCTTTATTAATTTTGTTGATATGGAAAAAGAAATGGAAGAAAAAAAATGTGACCCTGAATTGAATTTTAAACGAATATCATAGATACCTTCGAAAGCAATTTGATATTTATTAAATTTTCATGAATGCATTTCGTCGATTGGAAGTATTTGCTCATTACGAATTCAGCAATTTGTAATGTATGTTTATTTGAACCAATCGATGTCACTTAAAGGTACTATGTCCCATTTGCAGGCAAAAAAAATGAAAAAGTTAAATTCCAACTGCATTTGAAAGATAATACTATTTTAGAACTTCCCTAAAAAAGGTGGAGCTTGAAAATGTCTTTAAGTGGGAAAATAACGACTATTAGTTGTCAAATCGACTTTAGGGCTATAGAGCCCCAAAGTAATAGTCTTGATTTTCAGACAATTGTACCGAATGGTCATATGTTTTATGCTGCGCAAAGATTCAATCAGTTTAATCTTGGCCATCACAAGAAGTGGGTTATTGATGTAGACAAATGCTCATGTACCCTTTACAACTCTTTTCATGTATGTTATTACCAAGGAAGAAAAAAAAGCCAGTCAGTCACTCAATAGTGTCTGACAGTGAAGTCTAGCAAGTAAACGGGTTTCCTTGCATAATTTGAATATGAGGACACTGCTAACATTTAAATTTCACAGATAGGACATACATGACATATTCATAATTCCTGCAAAGTTCTACAGAATTTGAGGTTGGCTGCAAAAGGGGACATAGTACCTTTAATACTCTCTCTCTCTCTCTCACTCTCCACCTCTCCCCCGATTATCCACATTATCCTTGTCTATATTTCCTCCATTTATTCTATATTATGTCTTTGTCTGCATGATCTTTTTAACAATAATGTTTTGCTCGATTCCCTTTATTTTAGTCCATTTACATTTCTTTTGTTCTCTCTCTCTCTGTGTCTGTCGCTGTCTGTCCGTCTCTCTCTCTCTCTCTCTCTCTCTCTCTTTCTCTCTCTCTCTCTTATTCTCGCTTGGTCTCTCTACCGTTAGATATCTTCGATTTATATGTTGTCTTTGTCTGCATGATCTTTTAAACAATAATGTTTTGCTCGATTCCCTTTATTTTAGTCCATTTACATTTCTTTTGTTCTCTCTCTCTCTGTGTCTGTCGCTGTCTGTCCGTCTCTCTCTCTCTCTCTCTCTCTCTCTCTTTCTCTCTCTCTCTCTTATTCTCGCTTGGTCTCTCTACCGTTAGATATCTTCGATTTATATGTTGTCTTTGTCTGCATGATCTTTTAAACAATAATGTTTTGCTCGATTCCCTTTATTTTAGTCCATTTACATTTCTTTTGTTCTCTCTCTCTCTGTGTCTGTCGCTGTCTGTCCGTCTCTCTCTCTCTCTCTCTCTCTCTCTCTTTCTCTCTCTCTCTCTTATTCTCGCTTGGTCTCTCTACCGTTAGATATCTTCGATTTATATGTTGTCTTTGTCTCCATGATCTTTTTAACAATACTGTTTTGCTCGATTCCCTTTATTTTAGTCCATTTACATTTCTTTTGTTCTCTCTCTCTCTGTGTCTGTCGCTGTCTGTCCGTCTCTCTCTCTCTCTCTCTCTCTCTCTCTTTCTCTCTCTCTCTCTTATTCTCGCTTGGTCTCTCTACCGTTAGATATCTTCGATTTATATGTTGTCTTTGTCTCCATGATCTTTTTAACAATACTGTTTTGCTCGATTCCCTTTATTTTAGTCCATTTACATTTCTTTTGTTCTCTCTCTCTCTGTGTCTGTCGCTGTCTGTCCGTCTCTCTCTCTCTCTCTCTCTCTCTCTCTTTCTCTCTCTCTCTCTTATTCTCGCTTGGTCTCTCTACCGTTAGATATCTTCGATTTATATGTTGTCTTTGTCTGCATGATCTTTTTAACAATACTGTTTTGCTCGATTCCCTTTATTTTAGTCCATTTACATTTCTTTTGTTCTCTCTCTCTCTGTGTCTGTCGCTGTCTG